AGGCAGAGCCGGAGGGACGAGGGAGCCCGGTGGAGCTGGTGGATCGACGGGTGACGGTGGAGGCGAGGGAGCTAGGAGACGAGGTGGAGCCGCTGGGTCCATGACCCGAGGCGGAGTCCGAGCCTCGAAGGTTGGAGGCGGAGGTGAGGGATACTCCGACCACGGCGACGCTGGAAGATGGCAGTCCCGTGGAGCTCGCACCGTATTGATGGTGGGCTGAGGGCGAGCAGAGGGGCTGCCAGATGACAGCGGTGAAGGAGGCAGGAGCGGGCAGGTGGGTGGGCATTCATGAGCCTCCGGGCTCTCAGGGCTGCCCTCCGGGCTCAAAGCCCACTCCTGGCTGGACTTGGGGACTGAGTCTCTCTCATGACTGGACTGGGAAATGGGAGCCCACTCTGGACTGGACGTGGGGACAGGAGACGACAGAGGGCAGGACGGAACCAGCAGGGACGAAGGAGAGAGGAGAGGGGGCAAATCGGCTTCCAGCTTAGTTTCCCAGTCAATAAGGTCCCTCTCGAAATCCAGCAGTTCCAGATGCACTATCAGCTCACCCTCAGCCGCGGTGCAGTGGGCGGAGCTCCACTTCACGCTCTCACCATCCACGGCTTGCTCCCTCGCGGTGGGCACTGTCGCCGGGTCTTGCACCTGGTCTGACGGGTTAAGCTCTACATCTGGGGCGATCCTCTGCTCAGTCGCTCGGCTTTGCGCTGGCTCGTTGATCGTGGCGGGAAATGGCTCTCCGTCAACGGTGGGCTCGGGCTGATGCTCCGCATCGCGGGGAGATGGTGGGCTGGGCTCTGGTTTGGGAGTGGTACTGGTACTATCCACTCCACAAAGGTGGTGAAATCCGCTCGAGGACCATCCTCGGATGACGGCGCTCTGCACACGATGTTTAAACTGGCGTCGTAAAATGCACAGAGCGCGTCATCCGGGTAGCTGGTGGTGTATGCTAAGAGCCGGAACAGTCTCGTATGGTCCTCAAACGATCTCTCCCCCTGCTCCAGCAGCAGGAGGAGGAGATATTCCGGGCGAAGGAGGGCATCCATGAGGGTACACAACAGAAAAAAAACACTGGATGAAAATGGGAAACAAAACGGAGGGAACACACGGAGGTAACTGTATTTGGTCGGTTCTTCTGTCACGTTACGCTGCCGGAAGGAACACGGAGCCGTGGATAATCAAAAGAGTCTTTAATAGTATCCAACACAGAGGGTAAATCCAACACAGAGAACAGGAGGTAGACACACGTACATCACTGGTAGAACCGACCAACACAGACTGGGGCTAAGTACACAGGATAATGAGGAACTAATCGAGGGGACTAAGGAGACACACCTGGAATCAAATTAACACAATTAACACGAGCAGAAACTGGGTCACGGGGAGCAAAACACACACAGCCAGTCCAGAACCCTGACAGTTGGAGCTTGAAATAAATATTTCTATGTTCTGTATCACTGTGTTGTGTTTGTTTCCTTTTTCTGTTCAGAATATAACTGAGCCTTTTATGTCTCCTTTGTAAAAGCTTAACGGGGCATAAATAGTCCTCATTTTAGATGAGCTCACAAAATGGTTAACTGACAACTACTAAATGTTTTATAACTACCTGAATTAATCATGAATTATAGTAGGAATACCTGTTAATAAAGCATTTATTAACACTATTACTATATGTCTAAATAATAAGATACATAAATGTACATTTTAAATAGTTTATTAATCATTTACTTACACATTCTAAATGATCTTATGAACCACTCTCAACTCCTAAATAACTGGTTTATAGATAATGTAATACTTAATTTAGAAATGATAAATTGATAATTAATACAATTATTAAACACATTATAGATATGCTTATAAATCAAGAATAAAACATTTATAACTGTACTTATAAACTGCTTACTAATGTCTATTAATGTAGGGATAATGCTTTATAAATGATGAATTAATTGTTTACTAATGTTTGTTTACTAATTGGAACTAATGATCCATAGCGTGCAGTTATTATAAAGTGTTACCAAAGCTTTTATTGATGTATTTTATGTCATAGAATAAAACATGAAAATATCTTGAGCTTGTGATAACCACAGCGATTAAAAAAACCCATTGACTTCAGGACAACTGAACCGGAATTGTTAAAATGCTAACTCATTTACGGGGTTTGGCCTACAAAAATACATCATCCCTGCATCACTCTATGTGTCCATTGTTTTTCTCCACAGGTCTTGCTGTGTTTTTCTCGAGACACTGCAGTCCTAGAGCATTTCAGCTACAACAGCGCTACACCACCTAAATCTTGCATCCAAAGTAATGTGTTTGAATGTTTATCTTTGTTGATATAATATCTTCCGTAGCTTCCTTTCAGTCTATGAAATTTCTATTTCGCAGACAAGTCTGGCTCAGAGCAGTGTGCTATGGTTTACCCCCCGAATGGTGAGAAAGCAGCGTTTATAATACAGTATTTGCATGACAGCATGTCCCAGAGTGCACCTTATTAGTCTTCATTTGTTGACTTCTCTGAAATTGGTCTGAAACCAGTGGCAGTGCATTTATTTATTTATTTATTTATTTGCAGTTTCACAAAACTCTTTTGTAATACCCATAATCAGTGTAACAGAATATGACCTCTCTGTCCCATAGGTGTCATCCCATTTCATGGCTTCTCAATGTATGGTGAGTATGAAGAATAAAGCACACATTTTAAAAAAGTCAAATCTATTTTGTAAACAAGCATCTATCTGTATCCTGTGCTGCAGTTGCTCCACTGTGTTTCTTATATAACGAGCCGTCAAAGCTGTACAGAGTGTTTAGAGAGATGTATATTCGCTACCTCTTCAGACTACACTCTATCTCCTCACATCCATCTGTAAGTATCTGTGTGCGTGTGTGTGTGTGTGTGTGTGTGTGATGTAACATGATTGATTGCCTTTGTGTCAGCTTGCTTATGATGATGGCTGTTTCTGAGCTTATCGAACCTGTGTGTGTGTGTGTGTGTGTGTTAGGGTATAGTGTCTTTGTGCTTGCAGTTTGAGAGATTACTGCAGACTCATCTTCCCCAGCTTTTCTACCATCTACGAGAGATTGGAGCCCAGCCGTGAGTTCACAGTGCAGATTACTCAATCTCTTTTTTTTTAAAACCGCGTATAAAAAATATGAAAATTTGTCTTTATTCTTGTTTATTGATTATTTGTCATTTATTAAATAGTAATGTTGCTCCTAGACATAGTGGTAACAGCATCTATATAATTCTTTTTGACAATTGATTATTCTAATTTGGTTCTGAGCCCATATCCTTAACAAATATACTATCTTTAGATTGATAAAATATATAGGATATTGTTCTAAGCCTCCAATCTTAACTATTAAAGGTCTGTGCAAAACTTTCCAAAAGTTGATGATTTCAACCTGCTGGATGATAAGACAGACCAAAGCAATATTAAGGGACCACCAGAACCACCACAAGAGGCTAAGAACCACCCAGAACACCTTAACAACTGCATAGGAACATGATTAAAACCACCTAGAACATCACAGAGCAATGGGCTAAAAACCTCCCAAAACCACTTAGCAGTTGCTAAGCAACATGCTAAAACACCTTAGTAAATTAGTAACCTAACTTCATAGCAACAGGCAAAACACCACCCAGGAGCAGCTTAGCAAATTCATAGCAATGTGCTAAAAAAAACACCTGTAATACCTTAGCAACTTAGCAATGGACTAAAAACCAGGAAAAAAAAACAAACAAGCTATTGCTACTTTAGTTTCCTGATGAAACGCCTGGAACAACTTAGTAACTGCATTTTTCTGAAAATATTAAAACCTAGTTGATATTTTCAATGTAATTTATTATTATTATTATTAAGTTACTTTAGTTTTCAACTGAAGTTATCATGTCACGTAAGTGAAACAGTGTGACATTGTAACAGTGCAGCTCCATCTAGTGGCTGAATTATGCACACACAAGTCTCACACCTCAACATATAGCAATGTGCTAAAAAAAACACCTGTAATACCTTAGCAACTTAGCAATGGACTAAAAACCAGGAAAAAAAAACAAAGTAGCTATGCTACTTTAGTTTCCTGATGAAACGCCTGGAACAACTTAGTAACTGCATTTTTCTGAAAATATTAAAACCTAGTTGATATTTTCAATGTAATTTATTATTATTATTATTAAGTTACTTTAGTTTTCAACTGAAGTTATCATGTCACGTAAGTGAAACAGTGTGACATTGTAACAGTGCAGCTCCATCTAGTGGCTGAATTATGCACACACAAGTCTCACACCTCAACATTTGTAAAAAAGCAAATAACAGAATTTTTGAATAAAGGTTTAGGTCTATAAAGTGTGTATGTTTTGGGGAGTGTTTCTGAGTATGTGTGTGTGTGTGTGTCTTCTTTAGGTTGCGTATTGCCTTTAAGTGGATAGTCCGAGCCTTCTCAGGATACCTGTCCACTGACCAGCTCCTATTGTTATGGGACCGTATCCTAGGATATGATTCCTTGGAGATAGTAGCAGGTAGATGGATATTTCCTAATGTCTAACCTTTTGCCTACTATTGTGAACATGAAACATATAATTTTACTGTCACTTCACTGTTTCAAATCACTTGTTGAATACAGTTTGATGTTAGGAATTTAATAGATAAATAGTTAATCACTGTGTTTAGGAGGTGTTAAACTGTTTTTAATTTACCTTCATTTTGAAAATGTGACCTCTATGTTAGGGGACTCTTAAATAAGTCAGTCTGTCAGTTATATGGCATACACCCAATTTCCTGGATGATGACTATTTGTCTGTGCCTCTTTTTCAGTCCTGGCTGCTGCTGTCTTTGCCTTCCGAGCTGAAAACCTAATGGAAGTGACGTCACTGGCATCAGCTGAGGTTGTTATTTGTTTGTTTGTGTGTGTGTGTGTGTGTGTGTAAGGAATACCAAAATAGTGTCTTCACTTACAGCCAACACAAGTAACCCAGTCCACCCAAAGCACATGCTTCAAAATTGCTGTGATAATCACTTTTAAAAGTGGACCAAGTCCCCAACACCCCAGCTCTATAATGTTCAGACGATGTGATGTCAAATGTGATGGGAATTTTAGCATGACAGTTAACTGTTGACACTATATATCCTTCTTTGCCTTTGTATGCGTAACCGTTTATAACTCATTACTTAAAAGAATATTTAGTACAAGTTAAGCTCAGTAGGAAGCATTTGTGGCATGATGTTGATTACCACAAAATAATTTCTGATTATCCTTCATTTTCTTTTTTTTTATGTATATATAAACACAAAAATCTGGGTTACCGTGAGGCACTTACAATGGAAGTGAATAGGGACAATCCGTAAACGTTAAAATACTTTCCATATAAACAGTATAGATATAAACAATGTGTTAACATGATTTTTGTTAGGAATTGCTTACTAATCTTTCTGTGTGAAGTTACATTCAATTTTACATCTTTGTTGCCATCACAACGTAACGTGATAAACTGCAAACCTTAAAACAATTTTGTGTGAGGGTGAAGATTCCCCTTCACTTTCATTGAATAAATCTGTACACAGTAACCAAGATTATAGGTGTTTTTTTTTTTTTATCTGTCTAACATTTTAATATGCAAAAGCCCGACATGTTTTAATTGGGAATGAATTTCTACATGTTTAACTTTTATGAAAGCATCCTGTTCTTGTTAAGAGGTCTGCACTGTTGGATGCAACTGCTTGATTGACAGCTGTAGTAAAAGTGCATCTGATCTGCTTTCATTAATTCTAGCTGTAACCCGCAGTGACGCACGGGCCTGGGCCCAAAGACGCTGTGAAGATGCTGCTGGACAGTATCTGCTTGCTTATGTACCACCTGGTCCCTACAGGACAAAGTATCATAACACGTTGTATTTTTAGCACCCAGGCCTGGTCATGAAACATTAGAGGAGATGTGCTAACCTGATAGGGGCCTCTAAATTTATTTGCTTCCAATTCCAAAAGGACTGAAGCTTGAGAACACTTGATTCCTTCTGAAGGCCACCGCCCAAACGGCTCCTGTGAGGCGGATGCACTCTTAGCACCTTTCAAGCTTTTGAATCACATCATTGCGGGCCAGCAGACTCCATTTGGTGAAACTGGATTGACGGTTATGTGTCTTTGTAGTTTGGCTAAAGGTGTGGTCACATCAGCAAATTTTCTCATGCAAAAAACAAAAAAAGGTCATTATCCATTGTCAACAGCATTGTCAGTTTCAAACCAAGCAGCTTTCTGGCAGTGAGTGCGGCAAATTTGCATGACCAACTTGCACATAACAGAAATCTGCATGCTGAACTTCTGCCAAACGTGACCGCAGCTTAAGTATCAGGTGTTTTTATTTCCAGGCAATCTGAATGGATGCCTCTATTATGAATATTTACCAAAATGGGCAACACTAGCTTAAAGGGATAGTTCACCCAAAAATGAAAATTTCACATTTATCTGCTTACTCCCAGGGCATCCAAGATGTAGGTGACTTTGTTTCTTCAGTAGAACACAAACGAAGATTTTTAACACAAAGCGTTGCAGTCTGTCAGTCTTATAATGGAAGTGAATGGGAATCATGGCTTTGAGAGTAAAAAATAAACATACATAAACAAAACCAAATTAAACCCTGCGGCTCGTGATGATACATTGATGTGCAAAGACACAAAACGATCGGTCTGTGCAAGAAACTGAACAGTATTTATATCGTTTTTTACCTCTGATTCACGCAATGTCCGAACTGTTCGAACTGTCCTGAACGGCGGCGCGTCCTCCTGAGCGCATTCTCAACAGCAGGCGCGTGAGGTGTCGTCTTCTTCTTCTTGCTTTACGGCTGATCGCAGACTTATAAGTGCATTACCGCCACCTATCTCTCAAATGGATCATTGACTCTCTATCTACAATCTCAAATTAGGAGTGTCAATGGTCCACTTGAGAGAGAGGTGGCGGTAATGCACTTATAAGTCTGCGATCCGCCGTAAAGCAAGAAGAAGAAGAAGACGCCTCATGCGCCTGCAGTTGAGAACGTGCCGCCGGTCAGGACAGTTCGAACAGTTTGCGTGAATTGCGTGAATCAGAGGTAAAAAACGATATAAATACTGTTCAGTTTCTTGCACAGACCGATCGTTTTGTGTCTTTACACATCAATGTATCGTCACGAGCCGCAGGGTTTAATTTGGTTTTGTTTGTTTATGTTTTTTTTTTACTCTTAAAGCCGTGATTCCCATTCACCTCCATTATAAGACTGACAGACTGCAATGGTTTGTGTTAAAAATCTTTGTTTGTGTTCTACTGAAGAAACAAAGTCACCTACATCTTGGATGCCCTGGGGGTAAGCAGATAAACATCAAATTTTCATTTTTGGGTGAACTATCCCTTTTAATCCACAGCCGCGCTTGTATAATAATACATGGTCAGAAAGAGTCTTTGTTTTTGCATCTTCAATTCTTTTCTTCTTGCAGGCTGTTCTTGCTGACCTCTCAACCCTGAAGGTGATGCCCTTGCTGCAGATCTTCCTCTTCGCCACCTCCGTCTGAGAAACCAGCGGTGTATTTGTCTGTTTTGGTGGCTGGATGTTCCAGTCCATTTTGTTTTCATGTTGACTTTAAAGGGATAGTTCACCCAGAAATGAAAATTCTGTTTTTCTCAAATTTACTCACCCTCATGTCATTCCAATGACATTTGTGTAACATTAGTATGTTTGTGTGACTTTCTGTCTTCTTTGAAACATAAAATATTATTATTGAAGAATGTTGGTAATCACAGAGTTTTGGTTACCATTGACTTTCAAATGGATAAATTGAAGTCCCACACTGCTTTTTCCTTTTCCACAGAGAAATGCATTCAATTACAGGAGTACAGTTAATTGCAGACGCCCTGCTTCAGATTGGGTTGACTAAGATTTCCAGGGAATTGTTTGAACTGCAATAGTAATGGAACAAAATAATTTATAAATTATATGCTGTCATTTGTTTTTTACGATCTTAAACATACTTGTATAGATATACATACAGTATTCTTATTTTAGAATGTTATGAATATGTTGATGTTGATGAATATCATTGCAAACCTAATACTGAGTTACATACTGTATGTAACTCAGTGTTGTTATTGTTAACTAAAACTATTGAAAGTCATTTTCGTTAACCGAATAAAATAAAACTATATATAAGATGAAAAGCCTAAACTCAAATTAAAATGAGAAATGTTGCCTTGGCAGCTAACTAAAATTAAGTCTAAGTTGAAGTACTAAAACGGAAATCAATTAAAGCTAAATAGAAATTAAAATAAAAATGACAAAATCGTGTAACAAATTTAGCAAATCTTTAAAATTAAAATGAAATCTGAAATATATAATAAAAGCTAATACCAAAAAAAGAAAATAAATATATTATATAAATAATTTTGGTAACACTTTACAATAAGGTGCCATTAGTTAATGCTAGTTAATGTATTAACTAACATGAACAAACAATGAACAATACATTTATTACAGTATTTATTAATCTTTGTTAAAGTTAGTTAATGAAAATACAGTTGTTCATTGTTCATGTTAATTCACAGTGCATTAACTAATGTTAACAAGCACAACTTTTGATTTTAATAATGCATTAGTAAATGTTAAAATTAACATTAGCTAAGATTAATAAATGCTGTAGAAGCATTGTACATGCTTAGTTCATGTTGACTAAAGTAGTTAACTAATGTTAACTAATGAACCTTATTGTAAAGTGTTACCGGGAAACTTTTTGTCATGAGAGGCCTGAACTCTTGAGCACAATTGGTAAAGTTAACCCACATCAACTTTAAATACTTGAAAAATCATAACACATATATGTCCACAGCGTACATTATCGCAACACTGCATGATGTGACACTAGTCGTTCACTGCTGTTGCATTTACACATTACAGTTAATTTGTGTTCCGAAGATGAACGAAGGTCTTACGGGTTTGAAACGACATGAGGGTGAGTAATTAATGACAGGATTTTCATTTTTGGGTGAACTAACCCTTTAATGGTAGAATTTGTACTGTAGTTGCAGTTTAAGTTTTAAAGATTCCCCGATAAGGTCTTGTAAGGATCTCATAGTGGAATTCTTGAAATGATAATAGATGCCATCTTCAGTTAGGATACTCAGGTTAGCTCTTTGGCTTAGTGCCAGTGAATCTGGATGAGAACACTTATCAAACTATGAACATAAGTGTAATTTCCATGTATAACAGCAGCAGCACTGATGGAGATGCGTATTTGCCTTTCATATTTGCATAATGGCTGTTTTGTGTGACTTAATAAACTCAGATCTCATTACACTCCCTGAGATCACCAAAATGTTATTGATTGAGTTGAAAAGAGAAATGCAGGTAATTTTGAAGTCAAACACCAAATTAATTGTGTTCTTTTCTCTGTATCGTCTGTGTTTTGAGAACGGGGGCACTTTACACATCTCTGCATGTGCAATAATGTAACATGCAAATTGCAATTAATCAATGTTCATTATCTTTTGTTTGCTAAAAGAAGTGTTTTCTTTACACTAACATCACTTGTTTATGGGTTACTTCTGTTCTTGACAGTAGCTATTATTATTGACAGTAGCTAGTATTTATTTAGAAGCAGTTTTCTGATGCAGAAATGCATGTGAAGAATTGCCTACATTACATTTTAAACTACATTATTCTAATTCATTATATATACTAATTCATTATTCATTCAGTATAAGCTGTATAATCTATGTATGTATAATCTATTCCATGTTGTTAAGGGCAAATGTTTCATTGCCCTACATTAATATGCATGACTAGATTTTGTTTCAACTACCATAAATATTTCAATAAATGTAATTATATAAAAGCTGCAGAGTCTAAACAGTAATTTCATGTTGTTAAGTTAAAATTATTGCATTACCCTAAATTAATATGTATGACTAGATTTTGTTTCAACCTCCATAAATATTTCATTAATTCTTTGTAACAGAATTTTTAATGATTCTATGTAATTGGATTTTAAATTTGTAAAAAAAATAAAATGTACATGTGTAAAATGCACTGTATGTACATTTGGGAGCTTGCTTTGAGAGAATTAAGTATTTATTGCAAATAATAATTGCATGCTAACACAACCTTAATTTCATCAATCTAAACATTTAAATAAAATAATAATATTAATACATTAGTACAATGATATATGAAAGCATTTTACTTTTTGCATGCACAATGTGTGCTTTATTAGAATTGCACTCATTAAGCTTTTGTTAGTGTTTAGCTGATTTGTTCCAAATAGTATCAGCGGTTTTGCACTTTATAGTGACACCTATTGGCCTGGATGCATTAAGTGAGTTTACTTATTGCTCCCTTCACATCATATCTCTTTATTTTGTGTTTTGTTCCTTTTTCTGTATGTTATTTTCTGTCTCTCATAACACACATTCATATGATGAACATTCTTCTAATAATCCTAAAAAATGTTGTGCGTTGTGGGTGGTTTGTGCTGTTACTTGACTGGGTTGTTGTGGTTTGTTTCATCATTCCAGCACTAATTGTTTAGACATTTAAACTTTTATTTTGTTTTCATTTGTATTGATTTGGTTTAGACAAGTCAATCGCACACATCCATCGCTATAGTCTACGATGTGAACTCTGGGTCTTATGGGATTTGGGGTTAGTAGCCTACAATTTTTTTTTTCTTGCTGTTGTTGAAAGAAATTGATACTTCATGCAATAAATTGATGCATTGACATTTTAAATGTTACAAAAGATTATTATTTTTTTTTTTACTTTTCTACTTTTGAACTTTCTATTCATCAATCCTGAAAAAAAAAAAAACCCTGCAACTGTTTCAAGATCGATAATAAATGTTTCTTGAGCACCAAATCATATTCTGAAGGATCATGACACTGAAGACTAGACTAATGGCTGCTGAAAATTAAACCATTTAAAATCAAACCATGAAATACATATATTTTTTAATTGTAATAATAATTTACAATATCACTGTTATAAATAAATGCAGCCTTGGTGAGCATAAGATACATTTTACTGACCACCAGACTTTTGAATGTTAGCGTATAATGTTCGCTTTGCTTTTATATACATGTAATTTTATGTAAAGTGTTGAAAAGTGAATGTATTATTGGTTTGTGGCCATTTGTATGCTGGTCATGTGATGTCAACATGGCGGAGTTCCTGAGGGGGCGACCTGCTCCATGTGGGGAAAAAAGCGCTTTTTATGGAAGACTCATATGTCTGGATTCTTCATCCCATGTACATCATTTTAATCATAAAGCAAATAATAAACAAACAAATAAATCACTTTTAATACTAAATCGTATGCACATCATTTTATGTAAGCGTGATAATAAATAAATAAATAAATAATAAATTAATAAATATTCATAATCATACTTCAGATGAACAAGAAAACACACATTATCTGCCTGCCTGCTTTCAACCGCGGTCTGCCTTTTCAAAGCTCACGTCTCTCGCGCTGTCAGCCAATCGGATTATGCCATGTTGGGACCTTTCAACCAATCGCAGCCCACAGCGAGGAGGAAAACTTGGATGATTCTCTGGGTGTACACTTTTGAGTGTCGCGATGGGAGAAATAAAAGTGGGAAGTGATGAACAATAGAGCTGGCTGTTTCCGGGAGGCGCCAGCATTCCCAAGCAACTTTCGTGGTCTTGTTGTGCATAGCGATAGTCAGCCAAGCACACAGCTCATTGTTGCCGCACACAGCCCATCCAGTTCACACTAGCAGCTGGTTTTGTGTCATAGGAGAGTTTTAGGCGAGATCACCGAAGAGGGAGAATCAAACTGCCGGAGTCCTGTTGTCAAATGATTTGCATAAGGACTTCCGCCTCCTGAATTTAGTTTCTGCATCAACTGGCAAAGGCAGTGGGCAGACCTGAGCCCTCATGTCAGACGCAGTCATGCGGACTTGACATTTAAACTCGGTTAATATTTGGACATGAACGGCACACGCGTGTATTTCGGATGGCCCCGATGGATTTGGATTAAACGGCACACTGGGATCTGATACTTTCATTCACAGAGGCGTTTACTATGCTGTATATCTGCCGGCTCTGTGGTGGATATACAGTGACTATTTGCTGTTACTTCTAGTGTAGAACTGGAATATTGCATTGGACTCATTGTGGTATTCTGTAGCAGGAAAACGCGCGTTTTCATCTCCTCTCAAACTGGGGATTCCTCGTCTGTTTTCACATGTCTGTTTGGATCCTAAAGTAGGATACAGCCAGATCCTCCAACCCAGTCCAGGATCTGATGTCTGTGCTCTGATGTCTATTTCAATGTGCCATATTAGAAGAGTTGACCATCTCTTTTGGATTGAGTTTTACCTCGCGATCTTCTTTTGACGTCTTGGACAAGTTGGATGCATTTTTTTTTTTTTAGCTTAGATTACTTCTTTTTTGGCTACGTTTTTACAGGTTGGATCTTCTCGTTTATTTCGGGTATTTGAACTTGGTGCTTTGTTTAACTACTGTTGAAATCACACGTTGCATTCTTTTGATTCGTTTTGCCGATCCACTGGGTGCAAATACTGTGTGATCTCTTGTTGATTTATTTATTGGTCGTTTAAAGCTTTTGCACACCATGACTTTCTTGTTCGGGGCAGCGGTCCTGTTGCTGCGCGGACTCGTCATCTCTGCGGTATTGGGCTTAGAGAGTTCATACACGAGTCATTTATCGAACCGAGTCACTCCTGATCCAGCAGCAGCAGCAGCTGTTGCTCCTACAGGTAAGACCTCTATATCCTAACAAACCACGAATCTGATCAACCTGCGTTATTCTCTTTAGTAACTCCAGATACTGTCCAGATACTGTGATACTCGATTGTCCGTGCTGTTTTTGACGAGTTCTAATCAGGGAATGTTAATATGTGCCATTTCGCAACACCGTGGGTCCTGATGGTGAGCAGGTCTTTCCCAGCCTCACATCACTTCTGGATGATTCTAGAGAATCTGATGCTTTGTCTGTATGAGGGACTGCTTATGAAAGTGATGAAGGTCAGGACTGTATTCACATGGAATCCTTGCTATTCCACCAATAAACACTTGGCATGAGAGAGCAGGAGGAACCCCCTCCATACAGCACTGTCATCAGGCAGCACCTCCATAAAGGAGAAACCACCAGATGGGGTTTTTCATGGCCACTGGCTGATATAATGCCTTTGTAAATTGCTTAAATGAAACTGACACTCATTTTACACAATATTCACTGAAGAACTGAAACAGTATACATTAACCATGCTTTCTATGGCAAGCTATTTTGGCATTTATTCATTAAAAAAAATATTTTTATGTTAACTAGTGTTTTTTTTTTTCTTTTTTCAGTTACTAATTAATAATCCTGTCGTAAGTAGTATCTTTTGTAATTTTACTACTAACATATCCATTATTCTATCACTTACTCTAATAGTGACTAGAGTCTATCAAGTCTATCATTGGTAGGCTACTTTTTAGTCATTAGTCACAATCCCAATAGTGCCAGATAATCATTTCTCTCTTAAGGCTAACAGTTTATTTTTTTATTTTTTTTTTTTTTACTAAAAATTAGGTACTCATTTCTAACTAGCGTAAGGCTGCCCATTCAAACAGCATTTTTTTTAGTGTCAACTTCCAATATTTGTATTGTAAAATTATAAAATATTTCTATCTTGGAAAATTAATTTGCATGATTATTTTAGGTATAAAAATATATTTGACAACAACCATGAGAGATACAACCCTTTCATTGGCTGATGACAATACATTTTCAAATATCCAAATATTGGCAGATTAATTGATGTGCCTGATATACTGTGTCTATCACTATTGTACAAGGCTGTTCTTGTCACATGCAGGGCTGATAATTTTGTTCCGAGCATTGTGATGAGGGTCGCTCAATAAGATCTTCTATAGTGTAGCCTACTCTTTAGCTTTTGAGGGCCCTTTGAATTTAAAGATGACTGTATTACTATGTGTTCAAATGGATGCATTTGATCCACAGAATGATAGCTTCTAGGACACTACTTTAAATCCATCTTTTAAATATCAAACAAATAAATTGTGTTAAAAAATGTGTACCATACTGGTAGTACATAATGCATAAACAAACAGGACTGATGCAGTCAGTCAGACTATTCTGGTTCATAACCCCACAGCTGTTTTCCCAATATTAGTCATGCCTTTGATGACAGTGGATCGTTTCTGACGGCAGCAGTCTGGTCAGAGCATTTGCTGAGGACACAGGGTGAGATGACAGATTGCTGTCTGTACAGAGCTACAAACTGCTCATATGATGAATGTAATCCAGATCTGTGGTCATACAGGAATGCAGACTTAATCGGAAGGGTAAATAACCTGCATGCAATTGGTAATTGACTCATCAGAAATTAAAGCCGTCGGACAAATTGTTTCAGCTGTTGCCGTAGTTTAGTGCACTCTAATGGACACTTGATATGCATACTTGATTAAATACAGCAAGTGCACCACAGTTCCCAGCCTGCAACAAACCCCTTGAATTAAGGAAACCCTTAAAGGCAGAGTAAGCGATTTCTGGTAGCCAATGTTGATATTTGAAATCACCAAAACAAACACGCCCCTACCCCAAAAGGGTCTTGCCCCTATTTTGATAGCTCCGCCCCACATATACGTACGCAACCCAGGCAACGATTAGTTCTGTGAAACAAAGCAAAACCAATGTTACACCATGTCTACGGACGTGAGCGGCGCGGCAAGGAAACTGCTGCCGGGTTTTATTTATGACGTGCTGACACAAATTTCAAATGGTTTTCAACGGTCGTTTGATCGCGTCCAGTGTAGACAGACTTTAGCTGTTGTAGACACGGTGTTACTCACCTACTGAGAAGAAACATAGCAACCTCGGCGTCCGATCGCAGGCCTCCGCTCCTTGAGTTCTCTCCAGCGCTGGAAAGCTGATCCGATATTTACACGGGTCCTACTTCTTGCCTTATCCTTCCGCAGACGTTTTCCTCTTTAGTTTTTTATCAGCCATCTCTATCTTTCTGTCGCTCAGCTCGGCTAATGTCCGTCCCATGCACTGAAAGCTCTCTCCTCCACATCACGAGTAGACACGCCCCTTATTGCTGATTGGCTACAAGTTTGCTTTGCTATTCGGCCCGATTTAGTTTTCTAAAGTGTTTTTGAAAAATCACATACCCTGCCTTTAATTATAACTCTTAAGTGCATTGCTCCTTGAGGTTTTCTTAACTCCGATTTTCAGGGTGTTGTTGCATTTACAATGATTTGAGCATTTACATAGTTTCAACGTTGTTCTTACCCTCTGGCATTTGTACCTCCAGCATGTATAATAGTACAATTTAAACTGAAATTTATTTAACATTGACAACCCAGGCCCATTGGAAAAACATGCTTGTGGTGACATTACTGTGAAAAGATGTTAAGTTGCTTTTTGCAAGTTTCGTGACACTTTCAAATCGAAATGTTCAGTGAGTGGTGCTAAAAGCATGTTCAGTTTTGCCAAAAACAGATGAATGTGAATCTGGCAACTTTAAGTTGTTTGTTATAGTTCGGAAGTGAAATGTCCAGTGAGTGTGCTAAAAAGTTAAAGGGGTCATATGATGCGATTTCAAGTTTTCCTTTCTCTTTGGAGTGTTACAAGCTGATTGTGCATAGATAAGATCGTTATGGTAAGGGGCGTTACATTTCCGACGAGTGCTTGCACTGTTCGGCCAATCACAATGCACTGGGTCAACTGGCCAATCAGAGCAGACTGCGCTTGTCGGAAGGAGGGACTTTGTAGAAAACGAAGCGTTTCAGAAAGGCGGGGCATAGAGGACCTACAATAATGTACAGTATAATAATGACCTTTAAAAAAGCATCATATGACCCCTTTAATGCTGTATTGCAAAAATGACGTACAACCTACACTAAAACCTATCCTAAACACAACCAATAGTGATAACAAAAGCAAATGTGAAATAAAGATGCATTTGCTGAAGCAACCATGCAGTTTTAGTTTGCTTCTATGAACCGTTTTATTGTGACTCTTGTTTCACGGGACTCATACCCAAGCGCTCTGCATCACAAGTGCAATGCTGTGGCAGGTGAGCAACAGAGCTCTAGAAAAGCTGATTATGTGTATTAGTTTACAAATCATTCACAAAATTCATAAAGTGTTCTAGGCAAAACACTACTAAAGAATTTTGAGGTCATAATATAGTATTGTATAAGGAAGTCTTAATTGATATTCTGTTCCTGCAATCATAATTTATGTGAAAATGAATAACAGTTGTTGGTGTTTTACTGCCACTAGTGTTAATTTCAGCTGGAAAATGCATTAAATTGTTTGTATAGGTACGTTTTTGGAGTTTTGTAATAATGTAGGTAGATGCATTATAGGTAATCTATGTGGATCGCTGACACAATAATTATTAAATTATTAAAGCCTACTTTGGGAGCCGATTACTATCAGCCTCCAAATGAGTCTCTACACAGAAACATGTTTATTATTAGGACACGGCAAATGAAAGGGCAGTATTTTCAGTATTGTTGTTTTTTGGGCAGTGTAGAGTAGGACTTGTTGTTTGTCGAACAGAGCCGCTGTGTGACACATGTACTTAACCTAAACGCATGTAAATAATTAAAGCGCTTAAAATGTATTAGAACTGCATCGCATATAATTATGAAATAAAATCGTAACGTTTGTGAATTCACAATTATGCTTAATTATTTTTAAAATTGGTTTAATATATCATGCAGCCTTGGAAAACAGACTAATAATGTGTTTTATATATTCTCGTCTGTGAAATGCACCACTTCCGGTATTTTGCCGGGTAGTCGACGCGAGCAAAATGAAGTCGAGGATTTTTAAAAATCGAATTGTCAAATAAAATCGACGAATCGCGACAGCCCTAGATACAACCTTTGAGGAATATTTGGATTCCATGTGCTTCTTTGTGGGACACAGGCAGGAGCTCTTAAAAAAAAAAAAATCCAGCCTACACCCTATAAAACTAGCAGCTGTGGTTGCCAGTATTTTACTGTACAAAATACAGTGATGATGCTACAAGCATTATACCATTTACAAGCATTTGGTAACTATGTTTAAAGTCCTTGTGTATGTAAATAATGTCAATATACCTTCCTATTATAGCTATTAAAATCTGTTACTGTAAAATGTGCTGATAATGACACAGGTGGACAATGGAAGGCCACATGATGACTTAAAGGCCATCAAAATTGCCCTTTAACATTGTTAGTCACGCAAAGACAAAACACCACCATTGTAACACACAAGACTGGAATGCACAACATTAACATAGAAAGCATAATAAAATATTTAGATAAAAAAAAATGAAGACAAAAAATGTACACAAGTATAAACAAATGTGATGGTTTTTGCAGGTATGCAGGGAATGCCCCATAATTATAAGGTGATTACTGTGTTAAATGTGCATGTATTGCTTTGTTAAATAATATTTTCCTCTGTAAATGATGTTGTGATTCACACATTTCACAAAATTAGATCTTCAAGGTAGTCTTTTAAAATATTTTTACTGTATATAAGGTAACTTGCAATGAATGTAAACGTTTTATTGGAGCATTTTTACAGTTTTATTTTTAATTACTAATATTTTTGCATTGTATGTGAAGTTATGTTTGATTGTCATTGTTTGTGATTTCAGTTTAAAATGCTAAATGAGAATTTGAGCGATGACTTAAAGGCCATCAAAATTGCCCTTTAACATTGTTAGTCACGCAAAGACAAAACACC